CTCAGGAGGCATAAAAAGCTGGGCAATCAAGTCATCATCTTGAATCAGAATAGCAACACAATTGACAACGATGGGCAGTACCACAAGAGGGAACTAAGGGACCTGAAGGACAAATCGGAATACCTGTCATGCCAGAGTGAGCAAAACCTTGCCAAGGCACAGGCACCTCCCAAGCCTCCCCGGTTGTACCTGGACAGTTCCAGCTGCCCCAACATAATTGACCACACAGATTCCCCCTCTAAAGACATCTCCTTTTCCAATGCCAACCCTCAGTACCACAAAGCTACTCAAACACAGCAGGCTCACATCCACAAGGACCAGGCTACAGGCTGGGGGACTGCTGAGAGAGGCTCCCAGACTGGCTCACCTCTTTATGACCCATCTGACCCGTTCTTTTCCTTCAAAGTGGACTTGGGGCTATCACTCCTTGAGGATGTGCTGCAGACCCTCAGGAAACAGAATCCCAGAGATTACACCATTTGAAAGCACCTGCCATTTAATTTATTGAGCTAATCAGCAGGACTGACAGATTTTTAGCCCTAACAGAGGAAGGGATACCATTGTATCCCTTACTCTGAGGGCTTGTCTTATTGTCTTGCCTTACCTACCACAAACTGCTCCTGTCCTTTCTTACAGAGCTGTCAATCACCCAACCACATGCTGGAATAAAGGGAAGCGTTTCCATTCTCCAGACTACTCTGAAAATTTTTCTCCCACTGTTTACCATGCACCTCATCCTGGTAAAAGAAATCACTTTACTTGGCAACACAGAGACTTACTATTTTTGGAACATAATTGAGACTACAGAAGGTGTGGGAATCGAGGTGGATGGAACATGATTCATGGGTTACTGGACAATCTGGATGTGAAGGTAGCTCCCACATTTCAAAGCTATAGCTGAGGAATTGAGAACCTGTCCAAAGAGAGAAACTGGAGTGTTTACCCATATCACAAGTGGAGATTCTACATATGAAGATTAAGGATGTTCCTTTTTCTGGTGGGTTTCTTTCCCAATAGCTCTAGTGTGATGGGCATTCATAGTCACCTTGTCATTGAAAACAGGTAAGCAGCCAGAAAGACTCCTAATATAGGATCAGCAAATTCTCCATCCTGCTAGCAGGAGAAGGAGCTTCTGTAGATATTGCTTTCTGGAGCTTGTTCTGAATAATCAGCTGTAAAGATATACGCGAGAATAAATGTATCTGTTCTAAGTGTGTCTTTGCTTTTTTATCAAAGAGCACAGCTCATACATATGGTATACGGTAATCAATTGCCCCAGGTCCAGTGCTCCTTGGTCCCTTAACTCCCTCCAGCAAGATGACTCCATAGCTCCAATTTGTTCTGCAGCTCCTGACAGGAAAGACTAGAACTGCAGCAGCTGTGACATCCTTCTCCAAGCATAGCACCGAGAACATCACTCAGATGCTAGGCCTTTTACTAAACCCCCTGAAAGAACACTGCTGCCCATCTGAGATACCAAGCTGCTGCCAAGCCTGGCATCAAGGCTCAGAACAATTTGGGTAAGTGCCTAGTTCTAATAAAAAATGCTGCTGCCACAAAAATTCTGCAGTAATTCTTACCACTGACTAGTGGTGCCTTTTTTCTAGGGGTCATTAATAAAAGGCATCTGAGGCATTTAGCCTTTGGGCAAATCATCTCAAAGAAGGTGCAAATAGCTCTTATCTCAGTAGATGTAAAAGCCATGCAGCACTAAGGAGCTTAGTTCTGCCCTTAGGACTGATGGCTGCAATGAGTAGAGTTCACACCCTGTAGTCACGTAGCTGGGGCAGCAAAACCCCAGGGCACAAGCAGCTCTGCTGGCAAAGGGCATCTTCTCCCTACAGTTTGTCCTTTGAATAACTAATACAGATCTGGTGGCAGAAAAACTCCTGCTAGCTGTGTCTATACTAGGGGGTCCAGTTGCTAAAGCACTGGCACAACAATTAAAGTGGCAGCAGCCTATCTAGGGTACGGGACAATGTCAGAGAGAAAGCTGTGCTCAGCACCTGTACAATAGAATTGCTGGATATCTAGCCAACAGTGGAAGGGCAGTGAGCTGGTAGAAAGCTCCCAGAGACAACCTTGTTGGGAGGGATCTTTGCATGCTGCAAATCACTCATTCAGTAGCAGAATATTCAGCGCTGCTGCAATGTCAGACAAAAACTTCCCACCCTTAGTAGCTAACAGTCCAGAACCACAAGCTGTTTCAAATCAGAAAAAATAGCACATGTACAATCACCAAAGTGCTGTGGCTTTTCAATAGCATTCTGAAGGAGAGTATGCAGGTAGCTTCATTTATAGGAAGTGGAAAGCTTATCTAGGTGTATGAGCGAATTAAAAGCATGAAGTATCCAAGGGGAGTGGTAGAAGAGTGAGGGCAGACTGAAGAAAATAAGATATAGATGGAGCTGAAGAACTTAAAACTGAGAACCCTGAACTTAATATAAGATGGGAAGGATGATGTGGAGTGAATAATGAAAGATGAAGTAGGGGTGGCTGGTGCAGCAGAAAAAGAAGCTCTCTCAGAAACTGCATTTTGGATGGGCTGGAGAGGAAGGGGAGCTGAGGGGAAGGAGTGAAGTCAGTGAGCAGCCAAGAAATATAGTTCCAGATCCTGGACATGTTAAAAGAAAACGGCAGGATCTGGGAGGTGTTGCATAGGCAAGGAGTAGAAAAGAAAGGAATTGGAGAGTACCTCATGGCTCCAAGCCTAGAAAGCAAAAGGAGAGCAATATTATCACAGTGATGGCAGATGTTACTGGCAATGACAGTGGACTGGAGGAATGTGTCGAATGGAAGGGTCACTGCATGAATGATTATCTTTTAATTAGTAGATCCCAAGCCCTCCCCACTTTAACAGTGGACCTGTACCCCTACTGGAGGGAATCCATGCAGAAGCAACTCTCCTTGCTCCATGCACCAGGAATACCATAGGCTGCTTTGGCTTGCCCTGCCTGTCTGTGCAGCCGCATTAATCTGATGCAGCAGACAGATGCTATAGTTTCATGCTAACAAGCCTTCTGTCATGAAAACAAGCCAAGAAAAATGCAATCACAAGTTAGGGCTTTCACAGGTGAATCTGCTAGAGCCAAGAATGCATTATCATATCAAGCAGCAGTTGTATCAATGGCCTCTTATGCAATGAATGAGCTCCTAGCTGGGCCATTAGTTCTTGCTCTTGTGCCTCCAAGGGGGATGCTGAGATCTAGTAGGCTGACTACTGCTGGCCACCCCAAAAGACTCTGCAGTGCATGGAACTAAAGCCAGCTCTACACTGTACATTCCCAACCTCTAAACTCTGCTCCTGCATAAGCCTGCAGCCAGGCAGAGAAGCCACTCTGCTTATCACAGGCAGATGCATATATACCAAGCACACACCCCAGCCTGCAAAACATGGGGTGGTGGCTAGGCAATACCCCCTACAATCCCCTCTACATTCCTCCTTGCATTGGTTGGGAAAAATCAAACAGCCTTGGAAACTGCCAAAAATATTCAGCTGCTAAATATACCCAAGGCTGGTTTCTAAGCACCCACTAAAATGGGGGTTGAGAACACACGCAGTGTGAGGCAGAATCACTCTTGGCACTGACTAATTAATTAGGGCTTGGTTTTGACCTCCAAATGAAGATGGCTTACATGAAATTTAAAGACTATGCCAGACCTGAACTCACTGGCAGAGGAGCTTGCAGCATTTCACCCCATCCCTCAGGGGTGGCTAAGGTGTCACCATCTGAACCAGACATGCAAGGGTCTGCAGAACTAAACACACTATACCTTACAATGCCCTTATGTGGCACTATTTACTTTTGCATTTCAGAGTATTTACAGGGTGGCTACGGTCCCCATCTTTCACAGGGGGGAATGTAGGCAGAGGGAGCTTACGTGACTGCCACTGACTTGCTGCACAACCTCAAGCAGAGTCAGAAATAGAAGCCAGGTTTCTTGTTCTCACCACTAGGGACTGAGTTTAGAATACTGCTACTGTAGCACAACAAGAAGTGCACAGGGATTATTTAGGGCAGGGGTGTCAAACATACAGCCCACAGCCAGATCTGGTTTGCAGAGCAGTGTCACGTGGCTTGCAGGGCTCCTAGAGGGGGCATGAATTTGGGAATGGGACCCATTGCTTGAATTCAGGACACAGAGCCTATTAGGGATGTGTGCTGATGGGGAAGGGGGATGGGGGGACGCGAGTCATGGCTGTAGTAGTCCCCACAGCTCTCTGACAGTACTCATCCCAATCACCATCACTAGAAGTGGGTCTGGATCTGGCTCCCAAGGAACTCTGTGGGCTGGATCCAGCCTCAGGGGACAAGTGAGTTTGACATCCCTGGTTCAGTGAAATTTAACAGAGTATAGCAGAGTTAACAATCATCTTGTGTGTGTCCCATTTTCAATCAGATTCCAGATGGATTTCTCTCCCAAACATCCCGCTACATTATCACAAGCCTCCACAGTCATAGAATCAGAGAAAATTTCATAGACATTAGGGCTGGAACAGACCTTGGAAGATCTTCAAATCCAGCCTCCTGCCCCAGGGGCAGGAAGTCAGCAGGGGTCATAGGATCTCAGCAATATAAACATCCAAATATCTCTTGAAGGGTTCAAAGTAGGTGTTTGAACCACCTCCAGCAGCAGTCTATTCCAGACCTTGGGGGCTCGGACAGTAAAGAAGTGCTTCTGTATGTCCAGCCTGAAACGGTCATGGAGGAGTTTGTGACTATTTGACCTTACCATCCCTTGGGGCGCTCTGGTGAATGGACATTCCCCCAAATCCTAGTGAGCACCCCTTATAAACTTATAGGCAACCACCAGATCACCCCTGAGCTTGCGCTTTTCCAGGCTGAAGAGTCCCACAGCTCTCAGCCTCTCATCATAAGGTCTGTTTTCCAGGCCTCTGATCATGTGCGTGGCTCTCCTCTGGACTCTCTCAAGCTTCTCCACATCCTTTTTGAATTGTGGAGCCCAAAACTGGACGCAGTACTCCAGCTGTGGCCTCACCAAGGCTGAGTACAATGGGAGAATGATGTCCTGGGATTTGCTTGAGAAGCATCTATGGATGCAAGCCAGTGTTTTGCTCATTTTACTAGCTGCAGCATCACACTGATGGCTCATGTTCATCTTGTGGTAAATCATGATCCCCAAGTCCCAAAATTAGGGTTGGAAGGGACCTCAGGAAGTTTAGTCCAAACCCCTGAGATTGCACCACCTCTCTGAGAAACCTGTTCCAGTGTTTTACTAACCTTCTAGTGAGAAAATTCTTCCTAATATCTAACCTAAACTTCCCTTGCTACAACTTGAGACCGTTGCTCCATTTTCTGTCATCTGCCACCACTAAGAACAGTCTAGCTCCATCCTCTTTTAAACCCCCTTCAGGTAGTTGAAGGCTGCTATTAAATCCCCTCTCAGTCTTCTCTTCTCTAGACTAAATATGTCCAGTTCCCTCAGCCTCTCCCCAGAAGTCATGTGTCTCAGCCTCCCAAACCATTTTTGTTGCCTTCTGCTGGACTTTCTCCAATCTGTCCACATGCTTTCTGTAGTGGGGGCCCAAAACTGAACACAGTATTCCTGATGTGGCCTCATTAATGCTGAATAGAGGACAATAATCACTTCCCTGGACCTACTGGCAACACACCTACCAATGCAGCCCAGTATGCTGTTAGCCTTCTTGGCAACAAGGGCATGCTGCTGGCTCATTCAGCTTACTGTAACCCCCAGGTTCTTTTCTGCAGAGCTGCTGACCAGCCAGTCAGCCCCCAGCCTGTACTGGTGCAGGAGATTGTTCTGTGCTAAGTGCAGAACTTTGCATTTGTCCTTGTTGAACCTCATGAGATTTCTTTTGGCCCAGTCCTCCAATTTGTTTAGGTCACTCTGAATACTAGCCCTACCCTCCAGTGTATCTACTACTCTCCCCTCCAGCTTGGTGTCATCTGCAAACTGGCCGAGGATGCACTTTTTGTCTTCTTCCAGGGTCATTGATGAAGACATTGCACAAAACCAGCCTCAGGACCGACGCCTGGGGCACTCTACTTGATACCGGGTGCCAACTAGACATTGAGCCATTGATTATGGCTCCCTCTGAGCCAAATGCTCCAGCCAGTTTTCTTACAGTCCATTCATCCAACCTATATTTACTTAACCCATATGTCCTTGCCAAGCTGCTGGTTATAATAGCAACATGGGGATGGATGGTGGGGAGGACATGCCAGCCTATGAATCTTATCATCAAGACAATCTATGCAGGTACTGCTGTTCTTTCATTTCTCCAGTCTCTAGACTTTAGGTTTCAATTTCACCATTACATTAGCCCAGCATTCCCTACAATCTGGTGAACCAACCTCCCTAGACATGTTCTGAAGGCCTTCTGGCAAACTCACAGTAAGATGCAGTCAGCCTAAGGATGTCCAGGGTTAGGGAGAGTATGTTAGAATAGATCAGTTAAAATAAAGTCACAAAAAAGGGAGTTCAGAGGCTCTAAGCTAAACACAGAATGTCTGTGCTTCTCAGTCAGGAGGAGGAAAACAGTGAAAGATAAAGTCATTTGAGCAGTTTGTGCCACATTTTGTACTTCCCCAGGGAAGAGATGTTTCAGCAAAAGGCTACTGGGTCAGCAAGACATTTCAAAAGCCAACTAGGAAGTACAGGCTGAGATAGAGAAAACTTTTATGCTGGCGTAACTGGCATTATACCAGTGTAAAAGGGTAGTGGATAGACATGCACATCCCCAGTCCAGTGTAGTGTAACCCCTGAAAGAATCTGAGGAAACACTACTGGCATGAATTATACTGACTTTTTCCTGTCTGCTTGCATCCTGGAGTAGCTGTATGTAGAAGGCAGACAGATTGTTACCTACTTCTCTGCCACTGCATGTCTGCCTGTTCCTAATACCAGTGCAATTTATATCATTGCCCAAAACCAATGTAAATTAGCACAGGGTGTGTATGCGTCTGTCCAGGTCTCCAAGGCCCCTAACTAGGACTTTCTCATTAAACTCTTTTGGGAAGGAACATATCTTATCACACAGAAAATTAAGTGCCACGCTGGGTTAAACCAATGGTTCATCTAACCCCATATCCTCTATCTGACAGTGGCAGTAGTAGATGCTTCAGAGCATTGGGAACCAACCTTTTTGGCAGGCATGCCTCAAATTCATCCCAAGTACCACTCTGATCCCCTTCCTCTTTTTTCTGCTCCCTACCCAATCCAGTGTGTGCTACACAGAGAAGCTTCCCATGACACCTGGGGCACATGTGCTGCAGGTTAGTCCATCCCTACTTTGGAAGGAAAAGTTATGAACAAGGCATGTCTAGAGTAATCTATCCCCTGCCATACCCTCCCTAACATCCATCCTCATTAGTTTAGACATGAGGATTGTTAAGTTTTGTTTAATAGCTATTAATGGATCTATCCTCCACACACTGGTCTAACCCCTTATAGAAACTGGTCATGCTATCTGCCTCTACAACCTCTCTTGGCTGAAGTTACTATGTGCTGAGTAAAAAAAAAAAAAAGAATACTTCACCTTTTAAGCTTCATTGGTGTTGCTATCCAAGTAGGTTTAACAGTAAGTGGCCTGCATTCTCCTTACCTGGGAAGTCCAAGGCTGATTCGTACTGCCAGGAAACGTGGTGTTGGGATTGTTCTGTGGCTGGCCCTCTAGCCAGGAGATTTTTAGAGGATTATTTACCAGACCAGCTTCATTCTTCACTGCCATTTCCTATCAATGAGAACATTTGTCCATCACTATCTGAATTTCAGACCCCATTCATTCTAAACTCACTTTTTCAGTTTCAACCCACGTAGAGCACTAAACTGAGAATAACTTATCCACAGCTGCTATAGTATCCTTACAGGAAAGTCCACACCAGTGTCAAACAAGGAGAGGACTTATGACAATCAGTGCATTTAATAAAGAGAATATATACTTGTTTTGATCTAAGGAATAAAAGAATAGACCCAGTCCTCAAGCTGTGTATATTAAAGTAGGGGGGCTGCTTGGCTGAGAATTTACTTCTCATGGCAGGTCAGTCTGACGGGAAAATAAAGATTTTAAGCCAGAATTAACCAGATTACACATGCACATCTAGTCCTGTAATCCACCTCCTAATAGTAGCTACTACAAAATGTGTAAGTGAACTGGAAAATAGGTTTTAGGATTTCTGCTCCCATTTAGCCTAGACTCCAGTGATATGTTTCTGCACAGTCTTGATTGTAAACATAATGTACTACAGTATAACCACCATTACTAGACTGGTTATGGAAGTAGTAACAGCATCCATATCCTATTGCCCTCCTCCAGTCTTCCCAAGAGTGTAACCCTGAGGTCTCCTGCTCAACTTACAGCAGCCTTAACTGACACAAATTCCACAACCGCACTCCCAGTCTTCTTACTTGAGATCACCAAATTGAGTACTTCACCATACTGTTAGAATCAATAAGAAAAGATGGGGCTATTACAAATCCAGCTGAGAAGCAAGACACATCACTGTGAAACATGACCAAAAGCTACAGCTGCTCCAGTTCAAGCATGTCTTTATGCAGACTGATGGAGGAGCTCTAGCTGTCAGGGATAAGGGCCAGGACAAGATATCAGCTCCCCCACAAAGAGTCATTTTAAGAAATGTATGGATATAGCTATGAGGTAGGTCAGAGGTACACTCACTGCTCCTGACAAGATGCATTGTAGGGCAGTGGAGTAGGAGGGCTGCTTGGCTGAGAATTCATAGCTCCTGGCAGGTCAGTCTATACCATCAGGACTCAGGGGAAAATAAAGATTGTAAACCAGAATTAACCAAATTACACATGCCCATCTAGTCCTGTAATCCACCTCCCAACAGCAGCTACTACTAAATGTTTAAGTGAATGGGAAAATAAATCCTAATTCTAATCTTTATACATGGTGACCAAAGAAGCCAGAACCACTGTAGGGAAAGGTGTATGAATGTGAGCCTGGGCACAGTTCAGTTGACAAATCTATAATAATAGCCTTTATAAGTGGTGTGAGAGGGAGAAAGGTACACAAAGAGGAACAATTAGAGCTACTCTGGTTATATATGTAACTGCCACCAGAATTTTCTGCCCTTTCTTACAGCATCATGGTTGGGGAAAAGTCAAGCGGTAGAAAAGAGCATCTCAGAACAGGACCTTCTGCAGGATTCGCAGGAGAACTTCTTCTGAATATCCACCCTTTGTCTCATCATCTTTCTTGCATTTCCATCTTAGCTGGGAAAAGGAGTCGGAAGTTAATTTTGTCTACTTCAGTGCACTCTGCATACAGCTGTTGTAGGCTGCAGAATAAGCCACAGCCTACCAATGACAACTGCACTCAATGTTGCTGATATAGAACACGCAAATTAAAGGGAAAAAACTTATACAGCAGGGAAGGAAGAAATAACTCCTAGTGAAAGAGCTCACACTATACAGCACCTGAAATGATTTTTCTCTGGGTAATGAGATGTTTGCAGTGCCTGAAGCACAGCTGCCAGAATTCCAAGCACAGACCTACTGGTTTCTACGTCAGACAGCAGGGGGAAAAAGTGGGGAAAGGACTTTTTTTTCTTTTTTTAAGAGGAAAACTAACTGAAGCCATCTATCAGCATCAAGAGCACTAGGCAGAGAATCTCAGCTCTTTGCCAGACTGGAGATGTCCCTGGTTTGGAAAACAGCTGAGATGCTCCTTCTGGAAGCAAGTGCCCATTGGTTTCCAATGTGGCAAAGGCTAGTAGCCAGTTTTCTCACCTGGCCTGATTTTTAAGGAATGTCTTACTTTGAGTTTGGGAGTCACTTTGCCTTCTGCTCCATTCCCTTCTTGTTTGCCTAGAAAGAGGAAGAAAAAGAGCGTATGGCATAAGGGCCAACAGAAACACCACACAACATGTCAGAATATATGGCCAATGTACTGGCCATTCTGTCGAGCAGCTGGGGGGGCACTCTTCACCTCTACAGTCTTCTACTGCTGCTGAGAATGGTTCACTACCATAAGAAGGGCCCCTAGCATCAACCAGATGCTGGCAGCTGCCAGCATGTTTTATATCTTGTTGCCCAGACTTGCCTTGATCAAAACCAGATGTCACAAAGACAAATACAGGCAGTGTAGGAGCCTGTGCTCCTACAACAGCTCCCCATAATTGAAGCTCCACTATGAAGTAATTGTGAAAATATGGAAAACAAAATTAAAACTAATATTGATTGGGAATATCTGTTGTGCAGTTATGCCAGCAACACCTTGCTCTTAATTTTCCCTTATTTTCATCTTAATCTCTGACTATCTCCTCTCAATTTCCCATCTGTAAAGTGGTAATAATAAAGCACAAGAAGCTTCTGGTGGATCATGGAAGAGAAATTAACTCATCTCCAGTGTCACCTCCAGTGACTTCCAGTGTTTATATTTTTTTCCTTCCACACAAGATCAATCACTGCTGTGCAGGATAAGGAGAACTAAACCTATCCCCTGCTAGAATGGAAGGAGCATGAAATGAGGAGCCCAGCAATCTCCCTAGTAAATTTCCCTCTCAATCTGGGAATGGTCTAACTCATTCAGATCAGATCAGTATTTTCTGAATAATACACAGCACTGTATTTTGAGTCCAGGGGACAGAGTGTTAAAGAAGTAAGCAAGGAATTGCTCTACAGGTATATGGTTCAGGTGGAAGATTCAGCAATATATAAGGAGGCAGCACAAGGGTTGTGGACAAAACTCAGTGTAACTGGGAGCTCCTGTTACTTTAAGGCATAAACAGCAGCAGGGGGATCCTCAGGTGGGGGCTGAAGGAGAATAGGTCCCCAGGGATTTACAAGCGAGGCATGCCTATTGCAAAGTGAGCTATGCTGCAGCAGCACAATAAAGCAGACCCTGTATGGACAGCAGAATGCCTACTGCAGTGCTAGCCACTCAGTAACAGCTCTGCAAAGGAGAACCCAGCATAGCATACAAGGCACTGCTAAAATGGCTAGACCAGCAGCAGCAGGCTACCCTTGAGATCAGTAAGGAAGCCTAATTAGGGTACACCTGCAGACTGCCCAGGGGAGTCACCTGCCTGGAAAGGGGCAGAGCCTGGGGGAGACAAACCCAGGGCAGGTAGTCTAGCCTCAGATGCTGAAGGGTAAGGAGCTCTGCTGCAAGCTGGCTGGCCAGATGACTGACTGAGACCCACCAAGCAAGGAGCTGAGGGCTGGTAGGGGACTGAGACCCAGAATGAAGAGAGAGTTTAAGAGATGGCCAGCAGACTGATAGTTGTGTTAGAGGCAGAGTGCCTATGTTTTTCTGTTTGAGTTTTGACTGGTGGTTTGGGTTTGAGGCTACTGGGGAGGTGAAGGTCCCAGCCGTGCCCAAGAAGCACACGACTACCTTAAGCTCGGCCAGGGGGTGGGATTCAAATTGCGAGTATAGTAGAGACAGGGCCAGGGCCAGTGCCCAAGCAGGACAAAAGCCAGGACCAGGGACTGTAGCCCAAGATGGGTGAACTCATAGCCTAGGAGAGGTGAGAACCAGGGTCAGGGACTGGTAGCCCAGGAGAGACAAGATCAGCCCAGAGGGGCAGAGACCAGAAACAGAGTCCCAGCAGCCCCAGAAGGGCAAATTCTGCGGCCAAAGGCTCAGAGTGAGATACCCAAGGGCCAGAGACACTGTCGACTGACAGGGCTGAGGCTGAGACAGCCAGACACAGAGCAGTGGGTCAGGGCTGGAGACTTGCAGCCAGACAAAAGAGGCTAAAGCCAAGGGGGCTGAGGTCTCTACAAGAAATAGAATTGAATGTGTGCTGAGTAACAACTGTGAGACATGGGCATGGCTGTAGGGGAGGCCAGAGCTGTGAACAGCCCGTAAGGCAACAGGTGCCCTGGTTGGTATGTACAGGCCAGGAGGACCAATTATGAGGATGGGATTGGGACCTGCAACATCTGAGAGGGATTTGCTGGTAGGAAGATAGTTTGAAGCTCACTCTAGGACCCTTGAGCAGCTTCCCTTAAAAAAAAAAACTCAGTTAATCAAGACATGGCAGGAAGGAGAGCAGGGAGGGTACCTTAGAACTAGAGCCAAACAGGAGCCACATGATCGCTAAGGGGCATCAGGGCTGCCCTAGGAGCACTGGCACTGCTACACTCAGTTATTGGTGCATAAGGGAACTACTTACAGTACCCAAGGTGCCATGAATATTTAGGGGCTGACCACTTTAAGCACATAAACTTTCTTTTCTCAGAAAGCAGTGCAAGAGGTAGGGAAAGGAGCTCAGGAGTGAAGTGTCTTGAGCTTAAAACATTGCTGATTTCCTGTTGCATGTGAGAGTGTGGGCATGTATGTGGGGGAGGAACAAACACCTGCATATAAAAGATCAGAGAAGTAAGTCCCAGGCATACCTGGGACTGCAGTTTATATAACCGACCTTCCATATGTTGAGCCTCTCTAGAAGATAGACACCACACACCATTTCTGAGGAGTAGTGGTGGCTTTCATAAGTAACTAGTGTCCTAACCCCTTGGCAAACTAGAAGTGCTCTCCTGGTTGTTTAAACTGTGCAGGGCCAGCATGGAGAGGGTGAATGCCTGTAACCGATTCATATCCCACTTTAGACTATCTTCCAAGCCGTACAGCAGGGAGCCCCTTTGGCGACATCCAGGTTCAAAGTATCATAAAGAATGTGTTTGCATTCCCAGAAAATGGAAAAGGAGGTGGGGTGCGGAAGATGGCAAAGAACTTTATTTCTCCTCCTCCAGTGCACTGGATCATCAAGCTCATGTGGGAGGCATTCCAGCAGGACTATTAGTACCACCTACCTCCACACACAATTCTCATCAGGATGCTATACAGAAAGCTGAGATGTGGGTGGTGCGTAGGGAGTGGTGCCCCTGAACATTAACTCAAGAAAATTTGGGGGCTTGTGAAGCATTTTGTTTGGACAAAGGCTCCAATCTCATCTGCCCATACCTTGGACTCGCTCTCTCTCAAGCCGGATCTGTTCCTGAATGAGCCTCTGCTGCTCTTCTAACTGCCTGGAGCCCTCTTCGCGCAGACGTATGATCTGTAGCCAAAGCAAAAAGTGAACAAATAAGGTGCACATGTGAGCCAGTTACATCATTGTAACTTACCTGTAACTTATATTGCCTGTAGGTCAGAGTGAGAGCACACAGACAACCAGGAATTCTGTTTTAACCCCATGATAAGTGAAAGCTAAACCATTAACCCTTTTACCCCTTTTCCACTGAGGGCTCAACTAAGATTCCTTCCCCAAACATCTGGGGCCAGGATTATCAATTATCGACACCCCTCTTCCTATGGGCTCACAGAATCACTTATTCCCAAAGGCTTTGTACTAGCCATACTTCATGCAAATTTATAGAATCATTGAAAATTAAGGTAGGAAGGGACTGGTTTCCTGAGCCAACCCCCTGCTCAAAGCAGGACCAGCCCCAACTAGATCCCACGTCTTATAAACCTCCAAGGATGGAGGTTTCACAACCACTCTGGGTAACTTGTTCCAGTGCTTTATTACCCTCCTTGTGAGACAGTTCTTCTTTATATCTAATGTCAACTTCCCTCGCTGCAACTTAAGACCATTGCTACTTGTTCTGTCACTGCCACCACTGAGAACAGTCTAGCTCCATCCTCTTTGGAACCACCCTCCAGGTAGTTGAAGGCTGCTATTAAATCCACTCTTAGTCTTCTTCTCCAGACTAAATAAGCCCAGTTCCCTCAGCCTCTCCTTTTAAGTCATGTGCCCCAACACCTTAACCATATTCATTGCCCTCCATTGGACTCTGTCCAATTTGTCCACATCCTTTCTGTAGTAGGGGGGCCCAAAACTGGACATAATATGCCAGATGTGATCTCACCAGTGCCAAATAAAGAGAAAAAATCACTTCCCTCAATCTGCTGGCAATGCACGCAGCCCAGTAGCTGTAAGCTTTTTTTGGCAACAAGGGCACACTGTTGGCTCATATTCAGCTTACTGTCTACTGTAACCTCCAGGTCCTTTTCTGCGGAGTTGCTGCCCAGCCAGTCAGCCCCCAGCCTCTACTGGTGCATGGGATTGTTCCGTCCTAAGTCCAGCACTTTGCACTTCTCCATATTGAACCTCATGAAATTTGTTTTGGTCAAATCCTCCAATTTGTTGAGGTATCTCTGAAACCTAGCCCTACCCCCCAGCATATCTACTACTTCCCCAGCTTGATGTAATCTGCAAACTTGCTGAGGGTGCACTCTATCCCATCATCCAAGTCATTGATGAAAACATTGAACAAAACTGGCCCCAGGACCAACCCCTCAGGCACTCCACTTGAGACTGGATGCCACCTAGACAGTCATTGATTACTACCCTTTGAGCTTGATGATTCAGGTCTAAGCTCACCGTCATGGTTATGTGCCCAAAGGGTCTTGCCCACATTCCTGCTATGAGTGGATCAACCCACAAATGGTTCCCATTACCTCTTGCTCTAATGTCCTGGTTATTTGGAGCTCTTCCTCTTCGCTTACACGAGCTTGGGCTTCTCGTTCCCGGGCTTCAAGGTCTGCAAAAAACATTTCCAGCTATAGCCACAGCAAAGCCAAGTCACATGTCACCAGGAGCCAAAACTCTCTACCTATACTTGGCTGTTCTTATTGTTCTTGCCCTCAGCTCTCTTCCTGAAGGGTAGTCCCAATCTCCCATCTACATCCATGTTCAGCAATAAGCAACTTGCATCATTAATTCAGCAAAACAAGTCCCACGTGTTTAGGAGTTTGGAGTACAGGACCCGAGGATCCCTTCTTAGATCCCATAATTCTATGAAAACTCAAAAAAGGTTTCACCCCATCCCCCTTCTGCTGTTTGCAGGGGTTGATCCCAGGGGAAATCTGAACAACCAGAGTTCCACAAGGAATGACACAAGAGTTCAGCCACAATGGGGAAAAGAAGTTTAATGGGAAATAGAGAATTCTAGGGGTGGAAGAAATGCAAAAATCTCCCATTGCCTTGGACTTTATCCCATGGAAAAAGGGAGCAGTCTCGATTTTCATACCAAGTTTCACTTTTTTCCTTCTGTCGTCAAGTTTTTGAGTCCTTTCTGCTGCCTGCTTCTTTGCTTTTCTCACTCTGTCATACGCTGCCTGTTTAAGGGAACAGCAGAAAGGATGACATGCTGTAAAACTTGGGGGAGAAAGTGAGGAGTGACAGTTACTGAGACATTGTAAAACTGAAGGTTGAGGTTTTTTCCACCTAGTGCTGAGGGCTTTCATGAAAAAAAACTGGATGTCAGCTCAGGTACTCAGAAAACAGAAGAACAAAACAGGACTGACCACTTCAAGATGTAGCATGGAAAGGTGAAGTGGAAAGGGTGCCAGACCCAAAAATTACCCTAAAATAATAATTCTGAGCGAAACCATGACCCACCTTCAGAAGTGAGATCATTTTGGTTTCCTGAGCCAACTATAAGCAACCATTGGTGGCAATGGCACAAAATGGATCAGAATAATTATTTCATTTACATATGTTGGTGACAGATTGGAGTTTGCAAAGTAAAGAGAAATGCACCTTGAAATTAAAGAATCCACTGCTTAGTTCTTCATAAGTCTAATCATGACTGTGGAGACAGCAGTTGGGGATCAAAAGAAATTGCAGGTATTCAGTCTCTGAATCGAAGCCTACTTTGTTTGCTGTTGTTAGCTGGGGACATGTAGTTTAAGACAATGTTAAACATAATATTTCAGAGGTCTGTTCTACTCAGCACACTGTTTCTGATGGAAATATATACATATCAGATGGGACCCAAAACACTGGCCTACGTTTTCTGTCTATCCTCATCTGAGCTCTGATGGCCAAAAAGACATACTGGAACAAGGAACTTCCTTATAAAAAGATGCACAGGATGTAACAGATAATCCTGGAGGCTCAGAGTTATAAAGGGGGCAAAGTATGTGGGACAGGAAAGAAAGGACAACTTCCATTATTTCTCCACTTAGACATGTACACTAACAGATATGAACAATGTGCACATATCACCATGACCAAGAGATAGGCATCCTTACCCTTGCTGCTGCATCGGTTAGTACAGTTAAAGCCTGAGACAGCTGGTGGAAGACTTCCGCTGGGGATACAGAGGGAAAAAAAAACATTTAAGACAGAAAACCAAGTAAACAGCTCACAGGATTTCTGGATAAGTCTCTGAACAAGTAACCCTCATGCAAAAGTTCTAGAGAATTTGAGAGAAAAGAATAGCCTCTCCACAGCATTTATAGGCTGACAGACAGCAAGGGCATCTGGAATTTAGTCCTATGTGTGATTAACAAGGCTTCTGTTTAAAAGAAAAAAAAAAGTTTCCAGACCACCTGATTGTGATGGAAGTCTTGAATATATGAATTAAAAAGTGTGAGTCCCCCCTTTCATATCAAACTTAATATCATATTTAAGAGTTATTAACAGTCAAACCTAAGGGTAAGTATTCACACTGTTAACTCTCTTAATTGTTGATCATTTTACCTAAAGGAACTAACTGATGTGCTTATCCCACCACCTTAGGTTGCTTCTCTTGCCTACTTATATGCTGAAAGCCTGTCTTCCTGTCACCCATTCACTGAACCTCATTTCCTCTCCGACAGCCTTTTCACTGCAGTTATCAGTTTGAAAAGTCTGTGGCACAGCAAGCTAAAATTTAGCTGAATTCAATATCTGGACAAAGAGCAGAAGCTAAGGCACACATAGCATTAATTCATTTTCATGTTTAAAATAGTTAAGGTTTGATTCATCTGAATGTAAGTGAAGCTGCTGCAGAATGCAGGGACCCTGCCCACAACTTAACTCCACTTTGCTCAACATACAGTGACTTGCATCTAACAGGGATACAACCCCCTGATAACAGGCACTTCCAGAACATAAACAACAGGAGATCAACTTTCCATTACAATAGAGATAGAGAGTTTTCCTATCTACGGGGAGATTTCCAAGAACAGAAATGAGAACTGTATGTAGCTCCCATTTGAGCTGTACATTTAGCCTCAGGACTCAGTTGCCTTGTGCTGCTGAACATGTCTCCTGCCCACCAACAGATGTGGACACACTGCATGATGCACAGAGGTTTCCATGGGTTATGGGCAAAAGCAGAGCTGTGCTACAGCAAACAAATATGGACACTCCCTGTATCCATGCAGCTGGGATTGACAGGGAGAACCTGTTTGTATACACACAGATTGATCTTACCTGCTTTAGGATTATCTGGGTTCTTATCTGGATGGCAAGTCAGGGCCTTTTGTCTGTAGGCTTTCTTAACCTGTAGGAGCCAGAAAAGAGATTCACTGATCAGAACGACTCTTCAGTGAGAGGTATCCATGACAAAAGCATTGTATGTAATTTTTTTTATTTTCTAATCAAGTGCATGGATTTTATTTAAACTCATGCACATCACTTAAATAAATGAATTATGGTGAAGGGCCAACACACACTACAGGGCTGAAAGATTTAGAAAATAATAATAAAAGGCATAAGGAAACAACTGGTAGCTAGCTAATTACAAGAAAATATCCTTCTACAACAACAGGAGGCTGTTTAAGGGCCAACATGCAACCTCCCTGTAGCAGTATCTTTGCTGATTAACATCATATTGCAACAAAAAAGCATTCCAGTCCAAGATGCCAAGTACTCAGGGAGCCACATCTGAAACCAAAATGAGTTTCTGAAGGATAGAAATTTCACTCCTACATACAGCATGTTACAGTGATACAAATCTCAGGGTCAGAAATAACTGGAATAGCATAGCCAAGACCAGGTCTAATTAACTGACTGGAAGACCGTATCTCAGTGTAAGGTGGAAGAGGGTGTTCTTACAGATGTGCCGGGGGGGGGG